AACCTGAAATAAAAATAATAAAATCACGAGGTTTTCTTGTGTATCACTAGACTACGGGAAGTGTAAGAAAGTTCTCTTAATTCCTTCTTGGTAAGTAAATGGTTGTTGTGAACATGCATCACTTTCTCCACAGTTATTTATAAACATTTTTTGATGGAAAGACACATTTGAGCCAACTGTAACTTTTTTTCTTCAATTGAAAATGGAAATTAACTTCCTTTTATTTACTAGGTTCTGTCCAGATGCACCTTTAACTCTGAATCTTTTTGGAAGAGCAGCGAGTACCCATCTCAGCAGGTATCATAGATCAGAAATGTCAGGAATATTTTGCTTTTGAAATTCAAACAAGTGTCAGAAGTGCTTATCCAATATTTTGACTATTTCTGGCAGCGATGTTTTTCAAATTGCAATATTTAGAGCACAACTCTGATCATATGTGTACATACATCTACACACATATGTGAATATGTGTGTATATATATATATATGCATTTCAATAAAGCTTACAGTCTCCTCCTTTGCAATACGTAGCATATGAACCTAAAATCACCAAAAGAGACAGCAGTAAAAATACTTTAAGGCTTTCGTGTATAGCTGACAGATGGACAACAGATGCCCACCAGAGGTAAGCAAAGTCAAGCCTTTAACAGTTGAGAAATGCTACAAGTTGTGTTTGTACCTGGAACTGTATTTGTACCTGTCTGCACAGAAGGGGACTGGTTTTAGGTACTTCAACACAGGTTATTTTTGCACAGAACCGTTCTATGATTCAGTAGGTATCTCAGAAGAGGCAGGTCTATCGCAGCAGGCAGCGGTCTCCAGGCTGCAGTAGCAGCCAGCGCAGAACCGAATGGTGTGTCATGAATCCGGCACAGGAACGAAGGGACAAAAAGGTTGGTTTTGCAGAAATCCAGCACTACAGAACTGGACTTTCTCCAGAGTCAAAGAATTTCTGTGTTCAAACTGCTCAGACCAAACCTTACCATGGGTGACTGTGGATTTTCTGTGTGTCTCAAAGAGGCTTCCAGTGGCAATGGAAACAGCCCTTCAGGTCTCTGGATCAGCTCCCCTCGATGATGACCACACAACTCCCTGACTTCACAGGCCCAGGGCCAGAATGCATTTACTGCTCTTTGGAAGCACTCAGACAACACCTGAATGTTCTGTGTCCACAGTCAGTGAACAGTGAGGAAAACTGAGCACTACATGATTGCTGATAACATGAACGTGACTCTCCTTTCCCACCTACAGTTTATGTATTTTTTGAAAACACCTATAATCTTGACAGGAAGGTAAGGATCAGAGGCAAAATATTTAAAAAGATAAATCATATGTAAAATCACCTGTGAACTAAGCGCATACATCTGATAGTTAAATATGAGTCTCCCACACCTCTATTTAAAAAAATGTGATTTCTGGTCTTGTAAACTCCTGATCTTACAAAGGTTTTCTGTATTGAACAGGAAAACACAATAAAGTCGAGTGACTTAAATTTATCTTAAAGCAGGAAAAACAGAGACAAAAACTATTCTGCATTTAATTTAATTTTTAATATGGCTTATGATAAACACGGATGGGATGCGGTACATACTGCACCTTGCATGGCTGCACTGTCATGTTGGGTTCCGTTGTGTTCTATTTCCATTTCTGGGATTCCAGCATCTGAAAGATGTGACACCAAAGATTAATGCATTCCCCTTTGTCCTTCTCTCATGCATCTTTAGAAAAATATTTACAGCAAACTAGGGTGATCTCCAAGTTACATGGTCTTGCATAAAACATTTGGTCTTCATAGAATTTTCCATAGTGAATCGTTTCCAAAATGTGCAAACATTACTGGTCTCACAGTGAATGATCTTTAACATGCCTCACATTTGTCTGACAATCAGGTAATAAGCCACATGTGATATTAATATATCTGTAAAATTCTCTTGGACAATGAGGGCATCGACGTAGGAAAAAAAAAGTAAAAATGGAACTGTGATAATGTTAAACTACATTGACTCTCCCAGCCACATACCTGCAAAGTACAGAACTACCAGCTATAGCCATTGCCAGTTAACGTGTGTGTGCATATCAGTTTGTACAAGTGTATGTTACAGATCAGGACTGTGCAAATTTCATTTAAAATAGTCGGCTCAGGATGTTGTAAGCATGTGTTATCCCCCAAAACAACATTACACCCATGACATTATGTGAAACACTTCTAGATTTCTGAGAAGAGCTTTCCAAAATGGACTGCGCGCTTTTTTTTTTTTTTTTCCCCCAAGTTGAGAGAGAGTCTCAGGGGGATATGCACTTTTGAACTATTTAATTTCATATTGATAACACCTCTGTGTGCACAGTCCTTCGGGGGGGCAGGCCTCCAACACCCCCGGGTGTTCCGATAACAGATGCCATTATCCACCTTGTGCCAACAAGGATTAGCATGAAGGGGATGTGATTTGAATCCACAGCACCTCCAATGCTGGAGAAACATCTGCTTCCCTTATACACAGCACTTGGAAATCAGAGCAGGAAAAAGCCCCACACCTGGAAGGGAGCTGCACACACAGTTGTGAAGTTTTTCTGGGTAGAAGCCTCTTCTGGACTTTCTCAAAGAGAGAATAACTGTACTGCAACAGAGCAAGCCCTTACAGAACAGTCCATACCCAGAAGAGTAATATCAGTAATATCTTATTAATATATGTGTAAATCAAATATATGTGATGTAGGCATATACAGCCCCATAATTGTATATAAGCAAATAAACAATATTTTCATGTATACAATTTTTTTCTTATAAAACCCCAAGTGACTGCTATTACATAGGGTTTCCCTTATTCAGATCCCTGTTTTGAATGAAAGTTCGGGCACTGATCTATTACTCTAAAAAGGTTCTTTTCTTTTCCAACCTTCCAGGGTATGTGTTGTACGTATGTAAAATGACAAAGTCATCTGTAACTAATAACAGCATCTGTTAAATGAGACAGACAGTCAGACTGAAATTAAAAATATTCAGAATAGCCCTTCACATTTTGTTGTCATAAAATTGCACCTGCAATTAAATTGTGGATTAAGATGCTAATGAGCTACCTGATTTGCATGTGCAATCAGATTAGCATGTAAATATCACCTTCTTGCAGGCACTAACATATATATGACTACCTGAGTGTGCCTGCAAATCAAAACATTAGCAGCCAGGCCCCCAGCAGCAGATGTACAGGTCTGTTAATCACATTGCTGGCGTGTTGGTACCCTTTAATTTGTGGCTTCCAGAACTGCTGAGCACTCGGAACTGCAGTGCGAGCGGCGGGTGAGCACCAGCGACGGCAGAGTCTGGGTGAGTGACCTTACAGAACAGCGGGGTTTTAGGGGTTTTCCTGACACTCCTCTCGAGGTGATGGCTGTGTCTGTGGGATCTGATCTGGGCATTTTTCGGATCCAGTGGAGGTGGTGGAAAGGCTTCTGGTGGCTTTGTCCACCCACACTCCCTTGGTCACTGTCCCTTATCGCGGTGCAACTGCAGGCTGTATATCCCTGCCCGAATCACCGCTGTTCACTGTCAGGACACCAGAACAGCCGGTTCCTGGCCACAGTGATATGCTGGACTATAAAACCCAGCAGATGAGAATGCCTCGGAAAGATGCTGCTCTCGTCCTTGAAGAGTTTATACCTCCTGGGGGCTCCAGATAGCTCACACCCCGCAGCCCACCGCGGACGCTGCAATGGCAGCTCATGCAGACGGGCTGGCCCTGGCTTTAGAAACACTCTGGGCAGCCCCCACCACTGAGAACTCCAGACAAGCTGAACCCCTTATTTTTGCTCAGCAGTTCAGGCAGGTTTTTTGCAGTCCATGTTATTAATGATGGCTCAGTTGCCGGCAGTGCCCAAAGCAGGCAGCACACAGTTAACGTAAAGACTACACGATGTACAAACGCAGCAGAGAGCGAGTGTCACTCTGATCCCTGAGCCTCTGCAGGGACTTGGGGTAGGGACACACCAATCACACCTTAGCTACAGAACCTGAAATTAATCAAAACCCAAAGATTCAAACCAAAGCTCTACACTTTGGTCAGAACCACATGAAGCAGGGGAGGCCAATCATCCCACTACCCTGTTTAGGAGATTAACTGATTTGCTTTTGTTTCACAAGAATATTTGGGAAGTATTCAAAACCTAGTCAGCTCTGAAAGCTGAATCATATTTAACAAATTTAATAGGTCCTGAGGCTCAGCAAACTTCAGCCAAACAGCTTTTACAATGAAGCTCAACAGTCCTAAAAAATGAATCTGCTGGGAGAGAAGAGTTCAGAGAACATTATAGGAACCAAATTTCACATTGTCTTAGCTGGCACTGGAACAGATTTCTCTGGTAATATATTCAGCATTTGTTGTCATGTCTGTGTAAACTGCTCTGTCTGTTTCTTTAGTTGCAGATTTCTTTATTTTTTTTTAATTCATGACCCAGAGCACATGGCCTGAAATAAAATTTTCATTATTTCAGGAAAGAATTGTGGGGTTTTTTTATTCTGGAATTTGGTTTGTGCATCATTTTAACTTTTTTCACTCCATTAAACATCACTTTAAGCTAACTGCGAGAGGCCACCTAAGACATTACCATTTAACATCCTGAGACCGTCACCTGATGTTGCCTGTTTAAGCGCCTGTTCCACTTGTTCTCTTCTCTTTGACTCAAACTCCAAAGCTTCCTGCAATTTTCTCTTTGCCTTCTTTTCTTTCTTCAAGCGCTTCTGAATTGTTGCTGAAATGTAAATAGATTGTAAGAATGGCTGTTAAAGCACAGGTAATATCTAATGGAGACAATAAATGATGAGTTTATGTTCAATGTTCAAGGGCCTAGCTCTAGCTCAAGAAAAAAGAAAATTCTGGCATGAATCTGATACAAACCCAAAAAACCCTCAAGCCATATCCTGTAGTGAAACAATGAACAGCCTGAAAGGGCTTTACACCTTGCTAGAGATTTTAAATCTTATTCTCACTCTGCAACAGCCCCATGGATTTAAGTCTCCTGACCAGAACCTAAGAGTCCTGGCGCCAGCCCAGGGGCTCACCTTACACAGACTTCACCAGTTGGGACTAAATTCCAGCTTCCAAATTCCAAATTCTGCAGAGTTTGGTTGAGCAGATCATTGGCTTAAACTGATTTCTAGCAACAGCAGCAATACACACCCTCTAAATTAAATAAATCTCTCACCCCTCATTCTGACCTCTTCCCTTAATGCTGAGAACTATATTTCCCCCTCCTCCCCCAGTAGTTTTATCCAGAAAGAGAATCCAAACACACTGGTTGTGTCTCCCCTGACCACTCCTCATGGATGGAGGAAGTCTTCTGAATATGTCAGAGTTGTTTTAGTTGTTTTCTAACATTAAAAGGAAATGAAATTTGTTTCTGCAGGCGAACTGTGTGCAGTGTCAGAGAATCGGGAATGCCCGCAGCGATGGTGGGCAGGGTGAAACCCCACAGAACTGGGTGGTAATTTTTTGGTAAAACTGCAGCAGCAGTTGGGTGAATTTTGAAGGAGAATAACTGAAATACCAAGAAGCACTGCCCAAGACAGAACCCAGGTGCGAGGCTATGGAGAAGCTGGGTTAAGTGGGTACATACTCACACTGGAGCAGCAGCAGCACAATGCACAGCTCTTGTTCCAGAACATCTGCCATCAGCTGGCAAATCTCACCGGTACGAGCAAGACTGGTCGGGTTAGAGGCTGATGCCCGTGTATGTTCTCAGAACCAGCAGGAGGACATTGTCAGCAAGCTCTGGAAGGTGTCAGCAATCCCTTCCACAGCACGCTCGAGCTCATATGAAGGCATGACATTTGTACAACCCACCGCAGCTGGTGCAGAGGGTGGAAGAAGGCTTTTGCACTGTGCTGCTCCTGCTCCGGTTCATGTGTGTAGCCAAACTCCAGAGCAGTACCTCATCCCATGGATTAATTACTGAATTAAATCAGTGGAGAAGTGATGGCACTAGGAAAGGTAGGTAAAACTAACAGATTGAAAAGAATTTGAGCTTAAACATACATGCCCTTCCACAACTGCCATCTCTCTCAGAGCCACGTTTGCTGGTGTGTGCACTCTGGCAAGTATTGCTCACAAGTATTGTTAGAAAGAAAGTTGAATTTATACAAGCAGTATTTTGCAATCAGCTTTTATTTATTTGCTTCTGTATATTAGATACTTGCAAAATTTGAATCCCAAGATAGTTAGAAAATTTACTAAAATTTTGGAAAAATTCAGTGAAAATCCACAGTATTTACATAACTTCTTGTGACCAGTTGTTCATCTGAATTCTTACTGACTTTTACAGGTCTTTATGGATTTGTGAATGCTTCAGTCAGGGAAAAAAAAAAAAAGGACACTATTACAGGGGAGATCTCTGAGACACTTAATAAATTATGTATGTCAAAATGTGATCTGTAGAACATAACTTTGGAAAATTGAGCAACCCATGTGAAGAAGCCTATCGGACTTTCTGTAACAATAAAGATGTGCATGTGGCAAGGACCTGAAAGACAAACAATTCTGAGGATATTGATTATTGGTAAAATTCTCTCTTGAGCCAGAAGCCAACAAAGTCTGTGAATGGCTTAAGGCTTTTGTTGACTTCAGTGTGACTCCGAAGGTGCGCAGTGTGCTGTCTGCCCACACAGAGATACGTTTTATTTTACAGAAACACAGCGGTCTCATCCACACTTACACTAGGGTGATGCAACATTTCCACCGTGCAATTTAACAACTTCAGTAGCGTTCACTGACCCTTCCCAGCCTGACTCAGCAGTGCCCGTCTTTGTTGCCTCTGACCAAGGCTTGGTGCTGTGGAGAGCCCTGTTCTACACGCCCAATTTCAACTCCTACATTTTTGGTCTTATCTAGTTTTGTCTTTCTGATTTAATGGATGTAATCTAGAAGTAGCTCTTGGCACACCAAGCACTATTCCTCTCCTTGAGATGCTAATTTGAATTTTAAAAATAATACTGCGTTCTTTGCAATATCACAGTGAAACATTCAGATTTACCAATTAAATTGTTTTATCAACAGCTTCTAAATGGTCATGGTTTTGTCTTAGAAGATCCCACATGGGGAGTGCTATTGTATGTCACTCTTCTGAGGGAAAAAAATTATCTAGGGTTATTTGCTTCAGCTTGCACTTGGGTAGACAGCTTCCCGTAGTTCTGCCTATTTTGTTGCTCTGAAGCTGTCCACAAGGAAAACTAGCTGACTAGCACCTAGCTACAGAAATGTGGGCTGCGTGAGTAGTTGAGGTAATGAAAAAAAATATCACCTAAATACCCAAATTACAGACATCTTATCTTTCTCACAGTTAAGACTGATCCTCAGTGCTTGTAGGATAACAAAGGGAATTCAAGCTGTCAAATGAAGCAATCGGGCTGGGAATACAGAGGCGGAGCAGCAATACCACATGGGAAAGGCATGAAACTGCATCAGTGCTCCTCCGCAGAACCAGCCAGAACTCTCTGCGGCCAGCTGCCCTCCAGGAAATAATCCTTCAGTCACTGTTCCATCTGCTTACAGAAAAGTGTGCTTCATTCTGGTTTTATTAAATTTAAATCTTTCATTACCAGTGCGAGTCCACCGCTGCATTACCCTGAAGCAGCAATGTCAGTTAACTCCCAGTCCCCAACAGCTCCAGCCGGGATGCCGAAGGGTTGTACATTTAATAGATATCTAAACTCCATTCTTCATTCACTCACCTCTGCTTTGCAGCTCGGCTGTGAGTTGCCTTTCCAAGCTCTCCCTTAGTTCTCTCTCTCTACAAAGCTCCATCTTTAACTCTTTCTTTTCCTGCTGTATCTGCTTCTCCTGGACTCTCGCGTTGTCCACAGCCACTTTCAGCAGGCCCTGAAACACACAGACACGTGTAAGTTCTGAAAATATCCGTTTGTTTCAGCAGTAAAAAAAAAAATAAAAAAAAAAAAAAATCAACCATGTATTTCTTTTACACTCTCTAGGAAAACAGAAAAATTAAAAGCAGGAACCTATAGACCTGGGCTGCAGGTGGGCACCTGAAGTAGCTCAATGTTCTACACGAGCACTTTGGTGGCATGGAGTCATTCAGCCCGGCTTTCGCTAATCCATCCTCCTGCAGCGGTTTGTTACAAACAGTGCCATGCCACCGCTGCCCTTGGTCAACTGCAGGGAGCAGCAAAGGGGGAATAATGAGACTAGCGAATTTTAATATGACCATTATTGCCAACTATTAAGTGAAAGAGACAACGTATGAAACCCTTTCACGATCGATAAGGCCAGGCAGTGGAAACCTAAGCATTACATTAAACAGAAGAAATTAGCATTGCAGAGACAAAATAGTTTCAGAAAACTTTTAACAGAGATTGAAAAAGAAACAACACATTTTCTCTACCATGATATAGCCTGGCCCTATAGAGAATAATTTACCTGAATGTTGGTTAGTAGTGTTTCTACTGATGAAAGACCATCCGCAAAAAGAAATGGTGCCGGAAATCCAGGAGGCAAGGCCTGTCCAGCCAGTTGGACTTTATCTAAGGTTGGTTTCATTATTGGAATGGCAATTTGGACCTCTTCTGTAAAGACAGGTTTAAAAGCAACATCAGAAAGCATTGGAAATACAGGTGAATGTAATTTCTAGAAACTAGCATTCTGGTTACCTGGAACTGAAAATACAAGCGCGTTAGTAACACTGACATTGCGTCAGTCTTTGGGCAGCTGGGATAGTTGCAAAGGCAAGCTTGCAAAATAGTGCAGGACAATAATGAATATACTGAAGACTATAACATAGCTTAACAAAGACTATTATATCTCCAATTCTACAGAGTCATACTACAGAATTATCACAGCATTACGCAGTTCATTAAACCTGAATGACCTTTCCTCGTTCTATCATGTTTGCCATTCTGTGATGTGCATTTTTTGTTGTTATAACCTTGATAAAATTCTAATCAAGCGAGGTTTCACATCTCTTTACTCCTTTATCGTTCCCATACTCAGCAGTAAATAATCTCCACTGAGTCATCCCCTCCTGCTTAGCTAGCACCAGCTCCACGATGTCAGTAAAGTGTCAGCAAAGGTTTTCTTAACAAGTACCTTGCTACTTTCAGCCTTTCCAGCCAAAAACGCTTTGCTGAGTTATCTCTATCAGAGGCCCAAAGAGAGCCGGGTGGCAGGGAGTCACGGGAGCGCCCCGGCACGGGGCTTGCTCCTGCGATTTACTGCCCCAGCTAGAGTGATGCATCTCTTACAGACTGTAGAACCAGGACCTGGCACCTTCCCCTTCGCTTGTTGTTTCAAATGGACCATGCTGGTATAGATCAGGCTGTGCATAGGTTGCAGACATGTGTATCCAGAAAGAATCAACAATGTTAGTAATTATTTTTCAAAAATCCTTTAAATTGTGATGAATCAGGACTATCACCAATGAACTCACATTTTTGAATAGGATGATTTAAACATATTTTAGGACAGTAAATATCTCTCCTTCTCTCAGATCCCGGAGTACTTCTTCCCCACGTATTCATTCTAAACATCAAGTTCATTGCTGAAACCCACAAAATTAAAATCTGCTAGCAGTCTCTGAAGCCAAACTCTGCACATTTCTTTTACTTTGAAATGTTAAAAAAAATATTTCAGTGCAATATTCCAGGGAAACCCAGTCTACATACATTATGTTCCTGCGCTTGCAGAAATCATGAAGAATATTTTCTCAGTGATTGCTTTTTAGTAAAGCTTGCAACTAATGTATTGACCACAAGTGCGTGATGCATGTGTTCTCTAAGGGCAGCTGCACAGCCAGTCCTGATCGGTTCGTTCCTCAAGTGCCTTGGTCGTATTAAAGCCAGGATTTACAATTAGCCCACACCATATTCAAAAGGCCGCCTCCTCCCACCTCTCATTGAAAAAAACAAACCAAACAAAAACACCAAAACCCTCAGAAAGACTGACAACAGTGAATTAAGCCGCGGTGTCTCTCCAGCAGCACCATTATCTAGTTTCACAAGCTCCTGGAGCACCTACTGAGCCGCGAGCGCTTTTTGCTGTGTCTCTGAAACACACCTACTGACAACGAACCAGCAGCACTGCCAGGTTGCCAGTATTCTTGGAAATCTGTGCTTGGGGTGGTTTGTTTTCACTGTGTTAAGTTAATAAATATAACTTCTTCATAATGACTCTTCAGGACTAACAACAACAGAAGCCAGTAGCCTCTACGCATCTTCACAGCTCTCATTTCACAGCTCTGCGCATATGATTTAAATGATCCATTAAAAAAAAATAAAACCAAACCAAAAACCACAAAATAAACCCAAAAAACCCAACTGGTAACATACTCAGACCAGAGAGTTCGTGCCAATTCAGATACACCATATCTCATATTTAAATATCTTATATCAGCGGCAGGGTTTGTAAAATAACCTGATTAGTTGTTGCGTACGAGGCTACAGAGGAATAATGGAGTCACCAAAGACTAAACAGAAGTGGCATTTGAAAAAGAAACTAATACATGAAATGTGCATAACAAAACTACAGCTGCTTTGAAATCTCTAGAAATCTCTCCTATTTGGGGATGAAAGTAATAACATTAAATTGGCTGAAAGGAAAATGACTATTGACTGTGAAGACAGGTTGCATGGTCTATGGTTTGTAATGTTACTGTACAGCAGATTGAAGTTCCAAAATAGTATTACTCTTCTTTAAAGAGATAGACACAGCTAAATTAGGTGCTGCTGGCTGCAGTGAGGATCAAATGCAAAAAGAATCATATTTCATCAGACCTAGTCAACACCAGGAAAATAAATAGAAATATAAGAGGTATGCAGGCAATGATTCATTTTGATAATCTGGCCCAAGAGAGACACACAGAGACAGCACACAGATCTAAGCTCCTGCCAAAAGACAAATAGGACACAGAGGGTGGGAATTGGGATGACAGTGTAGCAGAGGTCACATCGATTTTCAGCAGCAGTTTTCACACAGATGAGATAACCCTGGACTCTATTTGGCCCATTGTTCATATCCTACCTGTCCCAGAAGCCATAAATTTCCAAGTCCCAGAAAAAGGGCAGTAAAGAAGAAGGATTCTACTTATGACTTCTTATGATTAAGTTTTTGTGCTAACCAAACATGCTTTGCAGACCAAGGTCACATTGCATGTTAAAGTCTGTAATAGCTGAAAACTAGAAGCAGCATATTATGTTTTAGCGTATATGGGTGGAAACTGTCAAACCATTAATCATTTTTTTTTCTGATTGAAATCACACTCTGCAAAGATGAATGATAAATGCATTAGAAATCTATTTCAATCTTGTAATAGGTCTTCACATCTGAATGGTGTCTCCATCTTGCCCACATTCTGAATAAGTGCACAGTTAGGCAGAAATTTATTAGCTAGACTGGAGAAATAATTGGTAAAGCAATTAAAAATGGCACGTGTTGGAAGCATTTTTTGTGGACAGTATCAAATGTATCTCTTTAACAGAAAAAAAGATGTTGATTTAAGCATTTTAATTTTAAAGAACACTAAAAATATAAATGCTAAAAGCTGCACTCACACTTACAGTACAACAGAATAAGCAAGAAATAAAGCTAGGACAACTACCGTCTAGCCAAGGACACTAACCACCTTTCTGTTTATTGAAGCAAAGTGGGAACTACTTTTATCAAGCTTGTTTGTTAAACCTGCCATGCTTTATAGCAGCATTCAGGAATCCACTCTGAGTGCAGTCTTTTTATTTTAATTTCTAGCCGGCACCCAGATGAATAGACAAAAGCAAGAATTATATTGCAGACAAAAGAAATACACGGTAAACACTAACAGTGAATGAACATTATCGCAGGAAAGCACAGGGAAATGCGCTAGGAAGTTTCTTGTTCTTAATTCGAAGTATTTCATCTTCTGTCTTCTGCCTAAGTAGCAGCAATAGGGATTGGAAAATGAGACACCAACCTATGGACTAAACGCAGCACTGGGACACGAGGAAGGCAGGCTGCTCCCTGCATGCCAGTGCGTGGCCCAAACCAGCCGGCAATCTCACCTGCCAGCTGGCTGATACTCTTTCCGAAGGCATGTTTCTAAATCCATCACTCATACACCTGATCCACTTGACATGTCACACTCCTCTCAAAACAAGGTAGAAATATTAACGCTACGATTTACATATTGCCTAACACTAGTTACCCCACCACGTTATTTCTTCACATGCAATTCAAAACTTTATCTGGGGCTGGATAAGCATTACATGGAAACCTCACCTCGAGCAGCTTATAGAACATAACCCATGCACTAAATAAATATGTGGCATATGGAGAAGAGAGGAACAATTTATACAAAATTTATAGTTATGAATCCGCTCGTTACTAACCAGGACATTTGATCTCAGAAAGCCGTCAGCCAGCATTAATAAGACGGTTTTGAACATAGATGGCAGCTGGGTCACTCCTTTTCCCTGCCTGTGGCATACAATTTAGAAACTTAAGGACTAAAATGGTTTATCGCAATTATAATTTTTTGAACTTCATATTTGAGTGATGGGGATTACATTTCATGGTCCATAGTTAAAGAAGAACAGCCTAGACACTCTCATGGACCTTTCTGACCTTTAAGAAAATAAAACAGAGGATTGGCAACACCAGCTGAGTTGCATGCGCTACTCATCTCTGAAAACACAACGATATGTGTTTACTTGCAATAGCATTATTTGTCCAAAGATCTTACAGAATCATCCAAACAAATATACCTTCCCAGCAGCAGGAGGTCCCAGGACTTCCAGCTGCACATCTACTTCACAGCAGCAGTGACAGGCAGCGGTGCCCAAACACGGGTATTTTGATAGAATTAGGGCCCAAATTCCCATTTTGGACTGCAAAAAGCAGTGTTCCAAAAAAGTGAGACTTCTTATTTTAATTTTAAACCCTAACAACTTCTGTGTTGCTTAACTAGAAGCTAGCAGAATATTTTTTCTTTTACAGCAAGGTAAGCATGAAAAACCTGCAATCTGAAGCATTGTTTATTTCAATTTCGTACCTATAAGTCTGCAAGGACAGGGTTATCTGTCTGCAGCGTCTTAATAACTCTGAAAATCCTCCATAAACCCCTGTCTGCCTTTCCCCCTCAGTCATCGCTCCTTTGCCGGGAGCCGAGCGCTCCTGTTCATCAGGGAGAGCAGAGATTCCTCCTCCTAACCTGGCACCAATCACACTCAGAAATTTACTGCTTTAACCTTGTGATTCCGGTGCCAAATGTAAAGTCACTGCTGTTTTTCTTAATTACAGTCCCCGAATGAGCAGGGTCAATGAATGCAATGGGGGAGTAGCTGATGGATCCGGCGCACGAGCTTTAAATCAGACTTTAGTTCATTTTCCAATGATTGATACAACTCGATAGCACACAAACATTTTTCACTACTGAGCTTTGCTGTAAAGAAACTTCACTTTAAAAATGGTATCTAATCATTATATATACATTTCCAGGCTGCCTTGAAAGCTTTGGGAAATTATCACAAACCAGTAACATCAACTGTCCTCTGCTCCATGGTGTCCACGTCCCAGCTGTTCCCTCCCATGCACTCTGAAA